GAAAGCAAGAGGTCAAACTAAATTTTCTTGACGAAACGAATAAGCATCCTATGGCAAGAAAAAGCGCGTCGCATCACCACCATCACCAGATTTTTGACTCGCTGGAAAGGAGTGTGGTGAGAAATGTATGTGTGTGTCTGCTGGAAGTAGCAGCCAAAAAGACCCCAAAGACTACCACGTGATGGAGAACCCAAGGAACATAACCAACTTTAAATCCCCCTTTTCGCTCGTCTTCAAACTGAACGCCCGGTTTTGGTGCACAAACAGTTCAAAGGAAGCTATAAGCAGGGTGATTTCTGAGTAGATTAAGAAAGCATAACAACAACGGGACACTTTCCGCCCTCCGTGCGGCTTCAAAAGGACGCCCCTGAAAAGCCAACCCAAAAACCAAGAGGAAAAACCGAGAGGACGCTCATGCTGCCTCCTTCAAAACCCTGCACAAGAAACAAAAACAGGGGCATAGCATTGATTCACCTAAGCAACGAATCGGGTAGGCCCACGGGATCGCCATTTTTTAGCGAATCGCTTTCCAGCAGCGGTTTCAGGCAAATGCATATGCGACAACAGAAGCGATGTAGCCGCACTCAGGGGCACCAACAAACACTACGCAAACTCATGAGCACAAGCAACAACAGAAATAGCTGTGTCATCTACTCAACTGTAGACATCTCACAAACCCATTCGGATACAAACCCAAATTCGCAGGGCAACCACGCATTTGTCGTCTCCCGGCCTTGAGTGAAGGGCATGGATCGACAGGTCCGCAGCGAAGGGCAAAGCCTGAAGCCGCTGGATGGTGGTATGTCTGTCTGTCTGTCTGTCTGTCTGTCTGTCTGTCTGTATCCATGTAGGTATGTATCTCCTCCACTCCTCCCTAACACCCCCCCCCCCCCCCCCAAAATCCCCCGGGCCAGGTCGATGATCTGCCCGTCCAAATCATCCGGCGGCGCGTGGTTCCCGAAGAATGTCGGCTCCGAGGCGACGGAATGCACCTGGACGTCCTGACCGCTGACAGTAACGCGGGCTCCATGGAAGCCTCCCGTGTGGGTCAAAATTTTATACCACCAGGGGATAATCCGCATTGACAAAATACGCCTGCCTGCAACACTCGCTCTCACAGACCCGAAAGCACAAAACATTGACCGCCTGTATGTTTGCATTTGGCGCGCAGTTTGCGAGTTTTCGAGAGGGACGATACGTTATCCTGAGGACCAGCAATTAATGCTTGGCTACTGTTTGCTGGTTTCGCATTTGCTTCAAACTTCCAGGGAAGCCTTTGCACAACCAAGCCGGAAACCAACAGGAAACCGAAGCCTACCTGGAGGAATCGGCCCCCAACTTTGAGAAACCCCCTTATTAGTTGGATCAAAAAGGTTAAAGTCAACTAACATCCCTTGGCAAACTTTGCACCACAGAATTACACTCCCCGATTGTCCGAGAGATCATGTCCCGTGCCATGGATCGCAGAGAGATGGCCTGCACAGCGCAACCCAGGAAATCTTCGTGGCTGGAAGGATAGAGGGTGAAAGATATAGGTTTGCCTTTTTTTAAGGGACCCCCCAAAATCCTGGGTTTCCCTTTGGTTTTCCTTTAAAAGCCACAAAAAAGGGGGACACCCTCAAAAAAAAGATACCCATTTGCGCGGACTCAGCCGAGGCCCCGAGCAGCAGCCAGCGCCCCAAGTGTCGCCATGGTCCAAGGCGGAAGGTATGGACCAAAGAAGTGAATTGGACAGGGTCCCTTAAAGGATACGTTTTTTTTTGCCATCTTAGAAATCACTCTTACCAGTTGAGAAAAAGACGATTCCCTTGTGAAGCAGGTGGTGAAGGAACCTTTGTTGGAACCACTGGTTGATGGTTTGATTCACCAGATTGGGGGGGATCGCAAACACACTTGGCAAGCCTGGAGCTGCAGTAAAGCGAATGCTTTTGACTGATCTCTCCACTCTTTTTTCTCTCTTGAGGAGCGCGCGGCCTCCCCGCTTCTGCTCCGTATCCCCGACTTTGCGCTATCTGAGATGAAGGGGTCGGCGGCACTGGGCGGCAGCCCTTAAATATATATATAATGACACACTAGCATCACGATTATCTATTTTTCTGCGAATATTTGCTGGGTGTGAGTGCCAATAGGTCGAGACAAAACTGTTGTTTTGCAGGTCTTCGGTCAGACATAGTGACGGAATGTTCAGACTCATATGTGCATGGTCACGCGGCACGCCTAGAATAGTACATTAAACGTTCCTTGTGCCTGGTGACTAACCGGGGCAACTGGGTAAGTACCTTTTGGCTTACGACATTCGGTCTCTTGGCAAATTGAGGAATAATAAATAATGTGTATTCCAGCTGTGAAGTGGCAATATGCATGTTTTCTTTGGCTCTGTCCAACTGACAGGAAGGACATGTTTCCATGTTTCATGTAAATTGATGCTACTGAATCGCTTGGAGGGAGAAATGTAAGGTATCCTGGTCTAGCAGGTACGATCCGCGTTCTGGAAAGCCATGTAATCTTCATTAACAAAGAGAACGGGTCCAAACACCTGATTATGGGTTTGACACGGCAAAGATTTCGGGAGCGTTTTCCAGGACCGCTTTTGACATCTTGCCCTAAATTGATTTGCTTGGACATTTGCATGTCTGTTTTGCCTTGTATTCTGGCTCGACCATCATTCAGCTACATCAAAGAAAGGGTCGTGCGTTGCTTTTTCTGCTTGGCTGGCTGAATTATTACAACACATGTAGCTGCAACAAACAGCTTGCTTTGTAGAATAAGTAGTGTTCTACTGAAATGCTCGTCCAGCATCCTTAATTTGACCATGGGTTGCCCAAAAGCAGGTTGGATTTCTAAAGACCTCAAAAATCAAGGTCTTTTCGGAAAACACCGTTAAGGGCGCCTTTCGCATCCAAGACCCTAAAATTCAAGGTCTTTTGCCTCGAAGGACTCCGGTGCAGGTCTTTGAACAAAGACCTTCATATATAGGGTCTTTGGGACCCTAGGGAGAAGGAAACTGACGTGAAGTTGACAACGAAGCGACGTTCAAAACACCAAACAGGAACATCATCCAATAGGGTTGGCCAGCAAACCGTGCCGAGCCTAGGCAACTGAGCAGCCTTCGCCCTGTCGCAACGCAGCTCCTCGGCGAGGGCGCGCACGGATCGCCCGTCGCGGAACTTGGAGCTGATGGTGTTTTGGGTGAAACGCAGCTCCTGCACATCCACCTCCACGTCGCAAATGCGGTGGAGGCAGCTCCTGATGCGCTGCAACTTTATTGTATTTCCCAAAGAGCAGCCTGAACTCTCAGGTGCGCCAGGCTGCGCCACGGGAAGAGGGCGAGACGCAACTTCTGCTGCAAACATCTCTCCACCCTGCAGGTGGTCCCGTGGAATTCCATCTGCTTTAACAAAGCCCATAAAGTGCTCCGGCTCTGCACGGGCCTTCATTTCTCCACAGCACGTCCGCGGGGCATTTCCGATGAGGCAAGAGTAAAGCGCCAACACGTCTCCCTGTTGGTGTAGATGGAGTCGGCAAAGTGGAGAGCCGCAACTGCCCGTAGGTGGGTACCCAGCGTATCCCAGCTCGAAACTCCTCGCCAGAAACGCGAATTCCAACATGTCACCAGGCAGGTTGTTCATTATGAGGCCCAGATATGGTACCAGGCGGAATGAGACCTGCTCCTCGTCACCTGCATCCAATTTCAATGACGGAGGACTTGCTTGCTGGACAACATTGCCAGCGCTATAAGAACACATCTGAATGAATATCTCGCCAAACATCTCTATGAGACAGCTCAACGACTCATCCTGTGTCGGGCTCTGAGTGCCCGCGAGAACCACGGTGATCAATCTGTCTGCTGAATCAGGCTGCTGCACACTTTTGCCTTGCAGCTGGACATCTGCGACCGCACGATATTGCAGCATGTTGCCGGTAGAATCAAAACCCATCCAGTCAACCACAGCGGTGCGAGATGAGAAACCGCTCTGTGGATAAACATGTTCGACCCTGCGCTGCTGAAGCAGTGGCATGGAAGCAACGGAAGGCGCAAACACGCGGAATGCTGCCAGGCAAAGCTCCTGCTTTGCCGCCCCATTCATGGAGGGTTTAGTGCAGCAGTACACTTCAGGAGCATCATGGCCTGCTTCCCAAAACTTCCGGCACCACAAGTGCAACTCGACCTGGGCATTGGTTTCGGGCCGCGCGGACAGTCCAAGCTGCTGCAGTCCCAAAGAGCTTTCCAAGTGTGAAGGGAGCTCAAAAATGCCACAGGCCAGCGATAAAATCTTCTTCTCATGGTAAGACTTGACATCAGGGAGGTGCCGTCTGGATGGGCAGTGCGACAGGACTGCGCCCATTGATTCCGCGGTTACCTGCTGTCTGAGCCTGAATCAAACGATCCGTCTCGCGCCATGCAATAATATCAGAGAGCCCTAACTTGGATTTCGGGATTGCGGCACAAGCAGCTGCCCAACGTATTTTGACGCACAACTTAGTGGCACTCGATGATTATCCACTGTTGATGCTGCAATTGCTGTCTCCCCAAACCACAGTGTCTGCCAGCGTAGGATCACTTTGCTCAAGTCCAAGGCTTTCCTGTATCCGGTAGAATAAATGGGGTCAGCCGGCTGAGTCAGAGTGAAACTTTGCCAAAATCGCAACAAGGACATCTGGACAACGTACTATAACTCACAGACTGTCATAGACTGGAAACACAAACGACCTCTTGTGACCTCATAGGCTTCCACTCGCTTAAAATCGTTCAGTTCGTTGAAATTGTCCCAAACAAGACATTTGTTGAGATCCACGCACCACACACTCTGCTCCTATGATCATAACTTAACTTAGTTTGAAGTCCGTTGCTCCACAACCCCATTGTAAGTTGTCTTAAATTGGGAGACCTCCCAACATGGTGGATTTGTTCTTTCGCTTCTTTTTTTGAACTGAGCCAAAAAGGGTGCCCTCCCAACAACAGTCCGCAAGTATTCGGGCCCTCTGTTGATGCCCCGTGCCTCTGTGGTCTTTATCACAGCCATGGTCACCTCCTGGGGAGTGAAACCGCATCACACCAAGGGGAAGTGCACAAAGCCCGTTTCAGGGTTCCACATGGATCTCCGATCCGAATCCGTTGGACACAACTGCAAGGAAACCGAGCTAAAAAATATTCATGCGTGGCAAACAAATATATATATATATATATATAAATCCTTGTGATACCGACAGAATGTTGGATGACTACAGGCCCAGTTGCCAACGCGGACAAGGCCGAATAAAGCTCGAGGGAATTTGCTGCACGACATGTCGCATCAATAGGATAATGCTGAATGCTCGTCATGCAAGTCCAGCAATAATCTCAACTCTCGAGCAATCCAATTCTCCGCAAGCAACCTGCGCCAAAAGTCGCCCGATTCAGCCAGCCATTTGGCGTCCTTGTACCAAGCTGCCACAGCCACAGTCAGCTGAAGAGACCCACAGAGACCAAGGCCCACTGACCATAACGGCCAATACACCTTGAGAGCACTGCTTCACCCTGCAGTGATCTGCGCCAGGCGCACAGGCCTCAGATAATGGATTAAAGATTGCTGTCATCCTTTCAGGCTCACACTGCATCGCACTACAAGTCATTCCTCAAGCACACGCCCTCAAGCCAGGTGATCAGCTGTGCATGCCGTGGCAAGGTATACCAACATAAACCAGTCCGCACACGGCTCAAGTGCCAGGTCAATCTGCTGCACAGCATGCCAAGTCAGCAAGAACATGCCCAACATGCATCTTCAGCAAGCCCACCAAATATCCACACCACAGCCCAACAAACGACAGCAAAATGGCAACGGTCCGCATCAAGCGCATCAACAGCATCAACCACGACAGCTGCATCTACTGCGCCAGCTGCATCAACCATATCAACTGCAAGCGCACAAGACGTGGTCGCCCGATTCAGCCAGCCATTTGGCGTCCTTGTACCAAGCTACCACAGCCACAGTCAGCTGAAGAGACCCACAGAGACCAAGGCCCACTGACCATAACGGCCAATACACCTTGAGAGCACTGCTTCACCCTGCAGTGATCTGCGCCAGGCGCACAGGCCTCAGATAATGGATTAAAGATTGCTGTCATCCTTTCAGGCTCACACTGCATCGCACTACAAGTCATTCCTCAAGCACACGCCCTCAAGCAAGGTGATCAGCTGTGCATGCCGTGGCAAGGTATACCAACATAAGCCAGTCCGCCTGCGGTGCAATTGCTAGGTACATATGCTTCACAATATGCCAAGTCAGCAAGAAATGTCCAACAAGCATCAACAATATCAACTGCAAGCGCACAAGAAGTGGTCGCCCGATTCAGCCAGCCATTTGGCGTCCTTGTACCAAGCTGCCACAGCCACAGTCAGCTGAAGAGACCCGCAGAGACCAAGGCCCACTGACCATAACGGCCAATACACCTTGAGAGCACTGCTTCACCCTGCAGTGATCTGCGCCAGGCGCACAGGCCTCAGATAATGGATTAAAGATTGCTGTCATCCTTTCAGGCTCAGACTGCATCGCACTACAAGTCATTCCTCAAGCACACGCCCAAAATTAATCTAGTTGATCATCTGTGCATGCCGTGGCAAGGTATACCAACATAAGCCAGTCACAACATACCCAGTCAGCAATGAAATATCCAACAAGCATCAACAATATCAACTAGTGCACAAGAAGTGGTCGCCCGATTCAGCCAGCCATTTGGCGTCCTTGCACCAAGCTACCACAGCCACAGTCAGCTGAAGAGACCCACAGAGACCAAGGCCCACTGACCATAACGGCCAATACACCTTGAGAGCACTGCTTCACCCTGCAGTGATCTGCGCCAGGCGCACAGGCCTCAGATAATGGATTAAAGATTGCTGTCATCCTTTCAGGCTCACACTGCATCGCACTGCAAGTCATTCCTCAAGCACACGCCCTCAAGCCAGGTGATCAGCTCTGCATGCCGTGGCAAGGTATACCAACATAAACCAGTCCGCACACGGCTCAAGTGCCAGGTCAATCTGCTGCACAGCATGCCAAGTCAGCAAGAACATGCCCAACATGCATCTTCAGCAAGCCCACCAAATATCCACACCACAGCCCAACAAACGACAGCAAAATGGCAACGGTGCGCATCAAGCGCATCAACAGCATCAACCACGACAGCTGCATCTACTGCGCCAGCTGCATCAACCATATCAACTGCAAGCGCACAAGACGTGGTCGCCCGATTCAGCCAGCCATTTGGCGTCCTTGTACCAAGCTACCACAGCCACAGTCAGCTGAAGAGACCCACAGAGACCAAGGCCCACTGACCATAACGGCCAATACACCTTGAGAGCACTGCTTCACCCTGCAGTGATCTGCGGCAGGCGCACAGGCCTCGGATAATGGATTAAAGATTGCTGCCATCCTTTCAGGCTCACACTGCATCGCATTACAAGTCATTCCTCAAGCACACGCCCAAAATTAATCTAGTTGATCAGCTGTGCATGCCGTGGCAAGGTATACCAACATAAGCCAGTCCGCTTGCGGTGCAATTGCTAGGTACATATGCTTCACAACATGCCAAGTCAGCAATGAAATATCCAAAGCATCAACAATACCAACTAGTGCACAAGAAGTGGTCGCCCGATTCAGCCAGCCATTTGGCGTCCTTGCACCAAGCTACCACGGCCACAGTCAGCTGAAGAGACCCACAGAGACCAAGGCCCACTGACCATAACGGCCAATACACCTTGACAGCACTGCTTCACCCTGCAGTGATCTGCGGCAGGCGCACAGGCCAGAGATAATGGATTAAAGATTGCTGTCATCCTTTCAGGCTCACACTGCATCGCACTACAAGTCATTCCTCAAGCACACGTCCTCAAGCCAGTTGATCAGCCGTGCATGCCGTGGCAAGGTATACCAACATGAGCCAGTCCGCCTGCGGTGCAATTGCTAGGTACATATGCTTCACAATATGCCAAGTCAGCAATGAAATATCCAAAGCATCAACAATATCAACTGCAAGCGGACAAGACGTGGTCGCCCGATTCAGCCAGCCATTTGGCGTCCTTGTACCAAGCTACCACAGCCACAGTCAGCTGAAGAGACCCACAGAGACCAAGGCCCACTGACCATAACGGCCAATACACCTTGAGAGCACTGCTTCACTCTGCAGTAATCTGCGCCAGGCGCACAGGCCTCAGATAATGGATTAAAGATTGCTGTCATCCTTTCAGGCTCACACTGCATCGCACTACAAGTCATTCCTCAAGCACACGCCCTCAAGCCAGTTGATCAGCTGTGCATGCCGTGGCAAGGTATACCAACATAAGCCAGTCCGCTTGCGGTGCAATTGCTAGGTACATATGCTTCACAATATGCCCAGTCAGCAAGAAATATCCAACAAGCATCAACAATATCAACTGCAAGCGCACAAGAAGTGGTCGCCCGATTCAGCCAGCCATTTGGCGTCCTTGCACCAAGCTGCCACAGCCACAGTCAGCTGCAGAGACCCACAGAGACCAAGGCCCACTGACCATAACGGCCAATACACCTTGAGAGCACTGCTTCACCCTGCAGTGATCTGCGGCAGGCGCACAGGGCTCAGATAATGGATTAAAGATTGCTGTCATCCTTTCAGGCTGCTCACACTGCATCGCACACAAGTCATTCCTCAAGCACACGCCCTTAATCAATCTAGTTGATCATCTGCGCATTCCGTGGCACAGTAGGCCAACACAAACCAGTCCGCATACGGCTCAAGTGCCAGGTCAATCTGCTGCACAGCATGCGGAGTCAGCAAGAACATGCCCAACATGCGTCTTCAGCAAGCCCAGTGTCCACACCACGCCTCCAAAAGCCGTCAGCAAAAAGCAATGGTCTGCATCAAGCGCGTCACCAGCATCAACCACGCCAGCTGCATCAACAATATCAACTGCAAGCGCACAAGAAGTGGTCGCCCGATTCAGCCAGCCATTTGGCGTCCTTGTACCAAGCTGCCACAGCCACAGTCAGCTGAGGAGACCCACAGAGACCAAGGCCCACTGACCATAACGGCCAATACACCTTGAGAGCACTGCTTCACCCTGCAGTGATCTGCGCCAGGCGCACAGGCCTCAGATAATGGATTAAAGATTGCTGTCATCCTTTCAGGCTCACACTGCATCGTACTACAAGTCATTCCTCAAGCACACGCCCTCAAGCCAGGTGATCAGCTGTGCATGCCGTGGCAAGGTATACCAACATAAGCCAGTCCGCTTGCGGTGCAATTGCTAGGTACATATGCTTCACAATATGCCAAGTCAGCAATGAAATATCCAACAAGCATCAACAATATCAACTGCAAGCGCACAAGAAGTGGTCGCCCGATTCAGCCAGCCATTTGGCGTCCTTGTACCAAGCTACCACAGCCACAGTCAGCTGAAGAGACCCGCAGAGACCAAGGCCCACTGACCATAACGGCCAATACACCTTGAGAGCACTGCTTCACCCTGCAGTGATCTGCGCCAGGCGCACAGGCCTCAGATAATGGATTAAAGATTGCTGTCATCCTTTCAGGCTCAGACTGCATCGCACTACAAGTCATTCCTCAAGCACACGCCCAAAACTAATCTAGTTGATCATCTGTGCATGCCGTGGCAAGGAAAACCAGCATCTCAAGTGCCAGGTCAATCTGCTGCACAACATGCCGAGTCAGCAAGAACATGCCCAACATGCATCTTCAGCAAGCCCACCAAATATCCACACCACAGCCCAACAAACGACAGCAACATGGCAACGGTCCGCATCAAGCGCATCAACAGCATCAACCACGACAGCTGCATCTACTGCGCCAGCTGCATCAACCATATCAACTGCAAGCGCACAAGAAGTGGTCGCCCGATTCAGCCAGCCATTTGGCGTCCTTGTACCAAGCTACCACAGCCACAGTCAGCTGAAGAGACCCACAGAGACCAAGGCCCACTGACCATAACGGCCAATACACCTTGAGAGCACTGCTTCACCCTGCAGTGATCTGCGCCAGGCGCACAGGCCTCAGATAATGGATTAAAGATTGCTGTCATCCTTTCAGGCTCACACTGCATCGCATTACAAGTCATTCCTCAAGCACACGCCCTCAAGCCAGGTGATCAGCTGTGCATGCCGTGGCAAGGAAAACCAGCATCTCAAGTGCCAGGTCAATCTGCTGCACAACATGCCGAGTCAGCAATAACATGCCCAACATGCGTCTTCAGCAAGCCCACTGTCCACACCACGCCTCCAAAAGCCGTCAGCAAAAAGCAATGGTCTGCATCAAGCGCGTCACCAGCATCAACCACGACAGCTGCATCAACAATATCAACTGCAAGCGCACAAGAAGTGGTCGCCCGATTCAGCCAGCCATTTGGCGTCCTTGTACCAAGCTGCCACAGCCACAGTCAGCTGAGGAGACCCACAGAGACCAAGGCCCACTGACCATAACGGCCAATACACCTTGAGAGCACTGCTTCACCCTGCAGTGATCTGCGCCAGGCGCACAGGCCTCAGATAATGGATTAAAGATTGCTGTCATCCTTTCAGGCTCACACTGCATCGTACTACAAGTCATTCCTCAAGCACACGCCCTCAAGCCAGGTGATCAGCTGTGCATGCCGTGGCAAGGTATACCAACATAAGCCAGTCCGCTTGCGGTGCAATTGCTAGGTACATATGCTTCACAATATGCCAAGTCAGCAATGAAATATCCAACAAGCATCAACAATATCAACTGCAAGCGGACAAGACGTGGTCGCCCGATTCAGCCAGCCATTTGGCGTCCTTGTACCAAGCTACCACAGCCACAGTCAGCTGAAGAGACCCACAGAGACCAAGGCCCACTGACCATAACGGCCAATACACCTTGAGAGCACTGCTTCACCCTGCAGTGATCTGCGCCAGGCGCACAGGCCTCAGATAATGGATTAAAGATTGCTGTCATCCTTTCAGGCTCACACTGCATCGCACTACAAGTCATTCCTCAAGCACACGCCCTCAAGCCAGGTGATCAGCTGTGCATGCCGTGGCAAGGAAAACCAGCATCTCAAGTGCCAGGTCAATCTGCTGCACAACATGCCGAGTCAGCAAGAACATGCCCAACATGCTTCTTCAGCAAGCCCACCAAATATCCACACCACAGCCCAACAAACGACAGCAAAATGGCAACGGTCCGCATCAAGCGCATCAACAGCATCAACCACGACAGCTGCATCTACTGCGCCAGCTGCATCAACCATATCAACTGCAAGCGCACAAGACGTGGTCGCCCGATTCAGCCAGCCATTTGGCGTCCTTGTACCAAGCTACCACAGCCACAGTCAGCTGAAGAGACCCACAGAGACCAAGGCCCACTGACCATAACGGCCAATACACCTTGAGAGCACTGCTTCACCCTGCAGTGATCTGCGCCAGGCGCACAGGCCTCAGATAATGGATTAAAGATTGCTGTCATCCTTTCAGGCTCACACTGCATCGCATTACAAGTCATTCCTCAAGCACACGCCCTCAAGCCAGGTGATCAGCTGTGCATGCCGTGGCAAGGTATACCAACATAAGCCAGTCCGCGTGCGGTGCAATTGCTAGGTACATATGCTTCACAATATGCCAAGTCAGCAAGAAATATCCAACAAGCATCAACAATATCAACTGCAAGCGCACAAGAAGTGGTCGCCCGATTCAGCCAGCCATTTGGCGTCCTTGTACCAAGCTGCCACAGCCACAGTCAGCTGAAGAGACCCACAGAGACCAAGGCCCACTGACCATAACGGCCAATACACCTTGAGAGCACTGCTTCACCCTGCAGTGATCTGCGGCAGGCGCACAGGGCTCAGATAATGGATTAAAGATTGCTGTCATCCTTTCAGGCTCACACTGCATCCTACTGCATGCCCCTAGCTCGTCACCAATTCATGGCATGGCCATGTTTACCAACACTAAGCAGTCCGAATACAACTCAAGTTTCAGGTGAGTCTGCTGCACAGAATGCTACCATACGCCAAGTCTGTCAAACACCAACCAGGCGAAGCGTCATTTCAAGCATTCCCAATCTGCGCACCACACACACCTCCAAAAGGCGTTAACACATCAGCATAGTAGCATTCCCTTTTCGTTTTTGCCGCAAGGATCAAAACCTGTAATCTGAATCCTGCAAATATGTCCATCAAAAACTCCGTTTGATCCCAAAAGGTACTGCAACCAAGGACCGCCCCCCAACACCTAGGCCTCCGCACTTGAGTGCCTATCACGGTGGAACTCTCAATGGCGCACTGGCGTCGTGCCCGCAACTTGGAAAGTTGGGTCAAAACTAGAACCCAAAACACAGATCTTGGAATGTCGGCCCTTGTCAGCCGTGTGGCTTGGGATGCAGTGTCGACCGCAGTGAACATTGTGGATATGGAGTGCGAAGTGCGACCTCGGGTGCCGGGGGCTGATGTTAAGAGGATGCCAAATTAAAGAAATACATTTGCCATGACATGGAGTTGTTTGTGGAATCCGATTGCCGAGACCGATTTGGCTGTGCGGCAGCAGCTGCAACTTGTTCTTGAGCCGTTGTGCGAGCTTCCAGCGTTGAGGGGCATAGAGCTCCTCTAGCACCCACAACCTTGCTGATGCGATAGGTAGGGAATGAGAAGCCAGTTGGATGTTTCTTGGGGTCATTCCATTGCTCAGTCCCTGCCTATCGCACCGGCAAGATAAGTATGGCCTGTCGGAATACGTTACCTCTATCCTGGGGGCATAGACCTTCCACACCTTCAAAACTCGTAGCCCTGTTCGGGCCTTGGCAGCTGGCTCCCTCCAAAGACAGCACCCGTTCGGCCGCCAGAGCCGTTGAACGATTCCTCAGCTTGGGGACCTTTACCCAGCGAAGCAAGAGAAAAAACCGGTTGCCCCGGACCTGGGTTTACGAAGCAAAACGACCGGCGTGAAACAAAACTCAAGCATAAAGCTTGAGAAAGAGGCACATGCGCTCATTTGCCACGGGAAAAAAGCAATCATGCGAGGTGAGTCAAGCAGTTCCCGCCCTCCGCCACGTGCAGAGTCTTGAAAAGGATTCGCTTACTCAGATGTCCAACATCTCCCATGGAAGGCACCAATGTGTCGGGCAACCAACCGGGGAAAGCATGACCTCTCCTTTGGGGGGATTGGAATGTTCCGGCATTCCAGGGTGCGAAAAATAGAGTCATATAGACAACCCAAAACCTACTGTATCCATCCGGTGTCCAGGAGAAATTATAGCTTTGGGCTATGTGGCACCCGATTCCTACTCAGCCGCGCGGCCCTCTGCTTTTCTATCTAGGAACAGCCTCTTTGAGCCGTTTGCTCCTGGCGACGGGCGCCATGGAGAGCGTTTGTCCAACTTCCTCATACAAGGACCTCGAAGCACGAAACCTTTTGGGTTGGGGGGGGGGGGGAATGGCTGGACCCGGCCGCATTTCGTCCAAGTCACTAAGTGACTTTGAGAGAAACAACCCAAGTTGATTTTGACCCTTGCGAACAGCCCAAATGGAAAAAGCACAAACGCCACGTGAGCCTTGGCCAGGGCAACTGAGGCCTGTGCTCGGAAAAGAAGTGGTGGACGAATGCTCCAAACTGAGTGGTTTCCAGTTGGTTGCCTTTAAAATCAACTAAAAAGGGCAACTTGAGAAAAGACCAGTGGATTCGGCTAAAGCCCAGGTTCACCGGGTCCAATCGGAAGGTACCCAACTATGCCACTGGGAAACTGGAGTGTAGCACCGGATTGATAAATCCGTCGGATTGCTTGGGGGCGGATTCGAATAACGGCCACTCCCACACCTGAGGTTTATGACACTCCAGATTCTGAAGTTGAATTGGACAACGGTCAACACCTTCCATTTGTGGTTTCGCCCCCTTGGAAAAAAAGAAATAATTCGTATTAGTGATAGATTCACTCCAAAGCCAAGAGGGGAAAAGCATCCTGGCGGGAAGCTACAAAAAAAGACAGGCCTAATTTCCAAATGGATGAAAACCACCATTTGAGACCATTTTAAGACCATTTGCTGGGGTGACCTGCTTTTGCAGCCCAAGCAGTAGGGGTGACCTATTCTAAGACGGGCGCTAACGTCTTTTTCGGGCATTATCTCGGTCCTTTCGCTGGCCAGCGCAGAGAATTGCAGCGTGGACAGGATGATAATGAGCGCCACCAGAGCCTGGCGCGAAGTGAGCAATGGTCGCCTCACATGGCATGGGGAGTCTGGGAAAAAGGCGAAATCATGTCCCCCCTTTTGGGATGTTAGGAGAAATCAATGAAAAGAACAGTTATAATATGCAAACTTAGAGATGAGTTGAGTGCCACAAACCCCATCTACTTCCCGACACTACAGGATTTGCAGCTTCAAGTTCAGTGGAAATCACGCAAAGGTTTCGGCCGCAAAATACACCTTTGTACCATATCATGTGAATAGGAGACAAGTCATTGGGCCGCAGGGGCTCGGGATCCTCATTGACTGGCGGGGCCAACTTTTATCCAGCTGAGCGACCGGCCTTGCCATCCCTAAGCCAGGTGGCAAAGCCGCCCACAAAAACGGGCAACGGATTTGGGCGCTCAGTTGAATTCCTGTGAGAGGCACAGCATTAGCCTTTACACCCCTTCTTAGATGGCTTTTCTAATTCAATTCATAAAGACACTTTCAAGAACCACTGTCCAACGCTGATTTGTGGCAGCTTGCATGTGTGCTTCAAACCTCCTGCATCTTTCCCTCAGAGGCGTTGCCTTGGCAACTGGTCGTTGTTGCAAAACCGTCCTCGTGTGCCAATCACCTGCTTTGTGTTTGAACACCCGTTCAACATCATTCTGTAGGCTTGAAAAGGGACCACCGGCTGGGTGCAGGCTTTGCTCGAAGCAAGCATATTAAGTTTGTAGTCTTCTAGGGGTACCTTCCCCATTCCTTCCAGGGATCCTTCTTTCCAGAAAGCCTCCAGAAACCTTTGCAAAGAACGATGGTTGAACAGAATGGGGAATCAACCCCTAGACGTCTGATCACACTATGCTCTGGCCAGCCCACACACCCCGCCTCTGGCAAGGAGGCAGGTGTACATCTTCCGTTCCTCCCGTTCCACACCGCGATGCCAAAAAGCACCTCGAGCAAAAGGAGCTTTTCAGCCGCTGCCTTCTCAGCAAATGGGTGTATCTCCAAATGCAGAACCTCCAAAGTTCAAAGGCGTGAATCTCCCTTGGGCGTCTTTGAACATCGCCTGAAAAAGCAAACTCAGCTGGCCCGAAAGGCGATTCTTAAGCGACCACAGAGGAAATGGGGGACCCCAGTGGATTTCTCCAAGGCCGCAATCGACTTGCACGCGTGACACCCGCCCCACCGAGTTGTTGCGTTAAGATTTGCTGTCTGACAACACCCTCCCGTCATGCAAAATGCACAAAGCGCCGCAAACAAGAAATCGAGCCGGCCGCCCGACAACCAGCTTATGATAGGCCGGGGGGAGCAAAAGCGACTCGCCCAGTTCCCCAATTTCCCTAGAGTTCCCTTTTCGTCCAAGTAATAGTGAGCTGAGCTTCCTTCTGGTAAGCACGCCTCCTTTGAGATCTTTAGCCCCCCCCTGCAGGTTTATTGAAACTTTAGTGACACCCTTACAGGCACAAAAAAAAACTACCACCCATCAGATCGCGAAGGTATTGCACGTTGAGGTCCACTAAAACGCCCAAAAACTTGGAGAAAGCATCACAGGATTGATGATTTTCAAGTCTGTGGCGCCGACAACAAACGCGTTCTCCCGTCAGACCTCACTCGGGGCCCTTGCCAGCATAGTCATGCACTTGGACAGGTACTTGGACACGGATGACAGCTTCACCACCTACCACATCGCGAATACATTGAGCATGGTTTCCTTCACCAGGGTTCCATTTTGGGTAATTTTTGAACCACAGCCATATAGGTGAATTGCAATAGTTCAAATACCTGGACATAATTTGAGCAATCATGAAACAAGCCTTCGTCAAAGGGTGAGGCTGCAACCCTTTGCGAGGTCCTTCAAACTTCTCCCTATTGCTAGCAAAATCAACCTAAACCACAATAAGCCAAAATGTGAGATGCTTCCCAACAACAACCATGTATAGACAGAAAGTTGGATTTCCAACAAAACAACCTTCCTCTGGGTAACCACACACCGGCGCAGCTGTGGATTGCATGCTCACATCAAGCGTCATGGCTCAACCCTGGCTCAAGCCTCACAGCAACACCTTTTCGCTGCGACAACCCATACCATCCACCCACATGTTTTTCAACTCAGCTCAAATTTCAACTCCCAAAGAAACAGAAACCACCAGCTTCTCCAAACCACCTTCTGCCCCCCCCCCCAAATCCCCAAATGGCTTCTGGTCCGCCCGCCCCCCCCTAGGCCCAAACCGCTTTTGGCCCCCCAAAACGCGAAACCCGAGACACCGCCCGCGCCATAAAGGCCGTCATCCAAATGTCCAAGACGTGGGTGCCGAGCACCCAAAGGGTCGATGCATCCTGACCCAGAGAGGGCGGTGCTTTAGAACGGCGACTCCTCGAGCGATATGGACCCTCTGAACTTGATTCGCGACTCGAGCGGGACCCAGAAAAACTGTTTGAAGCCAAAAAAGGTCGGATTGAATTGTTTGAACTGGGGGATATCAGGGGTTCATAACTGGGGTTTACACAATGAAGCTCGGAGATATCAGGGGTTCATAGCTGGGTTCATACATTGAGGATTCAGGGGGATGCCGTTGCTTACAAGGCGTGTAGGAAGAACCAAATGTGGTACCAGATACGAGGGGCAGCTTCATTTCTTCCATCTGATTCGGGAAGTGAACCCCTTGTCATGCCAATTGCGATTGTCAGACTTGTAAAGACAAATGAGACGGGCTTCGTATCATTTGCACGTGCTCGCTTGAAACATCTGGAATCCAGCATCTGACCACAAACACAGTGCCACACAGTTATGGACAAGCTCATCCATCTTCCATTTCCTTAAGTTGCCTGCGATATCACCAAAACGCCGGGACACAATCTTCATGACCTCCGGCATAGCGCTCATTGTAGAGATGCCAACGACTACACGCATGGCTTTCAACCCTAAGGGATAGGCGCGGGTAGCTCCGTTTTTTGCAAGTCATTACAACACAAAAGCATCATTAACAAAACACATCAAGTAGTGATAGGTTCCCTTGAAAACCAACAGGGGAAATAAACATATTATTACACAAACGGAAGTCATTGACACGGGAATCAACAGCCTGGAAATTCGTAGAACCCGAAGTTCAAAGTCAGCCAGGTGGCCGCAAAAGCACCCCATGTGAGAGGCCTTTTGAGCGGGATCTTCATGGCGAGACCAGTTCTCAGTTCCGGGGCGTTTTGGCTATGGTCTTAACATGACTGGTCTTGTGTGGGAGATCTTGCTCGCTGAGGCGCAGGCCCAGTGCACAAAGAATCGGTTGAAGCCATGGTTGCCATGTTCCAAGAACAGCAAGAAGAAGGCGACCAGCACTTCACCCACCCTGCGCGGCTCAGATAGGTTGGAACTTGTCGATTCCCAAACACGTCTCAAAGGGCACTTCACAGAGAGACCTCAAAAGGGGCAGGTGGTAGCGGGCAAAAAAATATGTAGAACACCCTTGTTGTGACTAGTGCTTTTAGTGCCCTGGTTACCAGACAAAACCCTGCAATAAGCCATGAGGAGAGCAACCAGCCGCGTTTTGTTCGTTGTGGCGGGCAGCGACTGCAAGATACGCCCAACGAGGGCTCTTCTGCGGGGGCTCACGAGACGCGGGTATTGGTGGGGCTCTCAAAAAGGGATCTGAATGAGGCTTAAAAAATGTTCTGCAATGAGTGCCCTGCCTTTGGCACACTTCCACTAGGTGAGTACATGCATCATACATATATATATATATATTAGTGGATCACAGTCCACTTCTTTCCAAAATGCGGCGGCGGCCACGAAATCAGCGTCATGCTACATTGCCCATCGTTTCGCGAACTATGCGATGTCGAAGATCTGCGGTTCACTTTATAAGCAACCTGTAAGTTACATTCCTATGAACTTGTTCTGGTGGTTTCCCCAAACCCACTGCCCAGGTTCTCTTCTTTCCAAAATGGCAAGCAGCAAATCAAAAAAATGACCTCCCAAGCATTCGGTTTGATTCGCCCTGCTTTGGCCCTAGACCTGCCCATATTTCCCCTCAAAAACATCGCCCCTTGAGAACACCCGCGTCTTGGCTCAAGGGTGGGCCTCGGAACGGCGCCAAGAAACATCGATTTCCCTTACGCCGGATCAGTGGAACCTCGTTGGCCCTTTCTCTTTCTGGGTCATGGTACTGCAAAGTTGACCCCTACGTCCTAAGGCGCCAAAGAACTCCATACCGGGACCCTCTGGGTGAAAGATCCCTGACAGTTTCAACCGTTTCCAAAATTATCTATATTTCGCTCACCGTCCCATCTACAAAAGCGTCTTCCCTGGGATTCTGGAGGATCCCTCGAAAGAATGGGGAAGTGTCCCCTAGAGAAATATCGGCCTCCAAAGTACCTGGGTTTTGGGCCTCCCTGAAGGGTATCTTCAAAACGGCGCTCTCCCTAGAAAGAATGGAATTGTAAGGTACCGCTGGAAAAACAAAAAAACGCCTCATCATCATAACCAATGGTTTAAACATCTTTACACCAATGGGTAGCCCCACCCTACACTCCCCCCCCCCGCCCCCCACAGCGAACCGCGACAAACAAAAAAAGCTTTCCCTGGGATTCTGGAGGTTTTCTAGAGGTTTTAGAATATATATATATAAAGAAATATATAAAACAAATAATAATAACAATAATAATAAATAAATAAATAAATAAATAAATAAATAAATAAATAAATAAATAACTAAATATGCAAGAATCAATTAAAACAAGTAACAACAACAATGATGATATTAAAAATAAGAAAAAAAAAAAAAAGAAAAAAAAAAAAAAACACGCCCGCGCCTCATGTTGGTCATGGTCACCTCAAAGGGCAGCGCGTTGCGCTTCTTGAAGGCGCGTTCCGCGAAGAGCGTGGCCAAAACGTTGCACCCCACCTGAAGAACGCTTGGGGCTCACTACCGTGTTGTTTTTCCTGTGTATATATATATATATATTGCAGTCATTGTGTTTGTTCTTTGTGTGTGTGTGTGTGTGTTGTTTTTGTTCTCTTTGTGCTTTTCCTTACTTATATATATATATGCAACCCCCCCCCCCCATGGACCCTGGTTTTACTGCCTTTTGGGGATGGCAAATCTAGAATTTCCAAATTTATATTCTCGAAATTTCCAATTGTGGGTCCCCAAAACCTTATAATTTGGAGCCCGGAGTCCGCCACAATGTCCCAGTATGATACCCTTTGCAGATAAGATGTTACTTCAACTAGAATTGGAATTTTGAATATAGTTTAGTATGGATATAGTTTTCAAAAATGTGTGTATGTTCAATTACAGCTTAAACAAGCAAATCCTTTCCAAATAGCAGCTACATGAAAATGTAAATATATATATATATATATATTTTCGGCTAAACTCCGACTAATCTATAACACAAGAAGTTAGATGGAAGTTGTTTCCCAAATATCATCCAAGTGGTAAGTATAATCTAAGACAAACACAACTCAATTTGCTTTTGATAATATCAAGTGAATAGAGACTACATCTCAAATATAATTCATATTAAATATGGCTAAACATTTGGAAATTAAAAATAGGATTTGTGTTGTTTACATTCTGGCCCTTTTGTAGCATAAGAAAGGTCCGACATTGAACTTGTTAGACGGTGTTCCAAAGGGACATTTCAAGGGAAGAGAGGTTCAAAATCTAAAACTATCTCGAAACAGGGATTCTAGCTAAACCGTTGTATTTAAAGTCCTATTTGCGCAGGAAAGTTAATTCTATGTCAAAAGGTGGAGGTAGTAGATGAGCAAATGTGGACAGGTAGTTGAAGAGGGTGGGGGACGGTGTGTGAACGTACATACATATGTATATCTATGTATACACATACATACACACATATATAGTACCCCCAATGATCCTGCGCCTCCTCATAAAATACTGGAAAATGCAGTATTTTTGAGCGTTGCACCTGCCTTTGTTTACCTCCTAGAAAGGGGTCAACATGAGCATAGCTGACATGAAGCTGTCCACTGGATCGCTAAGCACTTGAAAATTTGCTACTATCGGATGGAAGATTCAATATTGAAGATTACACAGAACACTTTCCTGAGAATTGTCAATCCTGGCCAAACCCAAATAGCATTCAAGTTCTTCTAACACTTGAAAGTGCTTTACCACTGGATTGGGGATTCAATATTGACGAGCCCACAAACCACCACTTTCCTGAGAATCATCCATCCTGGTCAACCCCTAAAATGTTCAAGTTGTTCTATCACCTCGAACATCCGTTACCACTGGATTGAACTATTTCACGGAAAAACTTTTCCGAGAATCTTATTGAACACCGAGAGTATTGGGACAACCCTGGATTTTTTAAAACTTTTTAAAAAAATATGGGATTCAAGATTCAAGATTCCCAGAAAATATTTTCTCAGATTCTTGAATCTTGAATCTTGAATCCATACTTTTTAATAATTTTTAAAAATTATGGGATTCAAGATTCAAGATTCAAGATTCCCAGAAAATATTTTCTCAGATTCTCGAATCTTGAATCTTGAATCCCATAATTTTTAATAATTTTTAAAAATGTCTGAGTTGTTCTTGTATTATTGGATGCATTCAAACTCTTTCAGATTGCAGGTGCTGATGTCATTGCTTTTATCACATCTGTATGCATGCATGCGTATCATATACATGTACGACCCTCCCCCCAATTTTGACACAAATCCAAGAAGCAAAAAGAAGCATAAAACACTGGAAAATACAGGTCAACCGCACCAAACCAGGGTCCATGGGGGGGGGGTACCATATATATATATATACATACTTATATTGCAGCCATTCTATGCAGGAAGAAGGAAAGGTAGTTCATGGTGGGGGCCTGACCATATATATATATACATATAAATATACATATAAATAAATATATGTATATATATATATATATTTGCTTGGCTGGTAGCGGTGTGCCCCACCTGGGCGGGTTGCTGCTTGAGTTGGCACCCAATTTGTTGGGGGTTGGTTTGCGGGGGAGCCCGCGGAAACGCTGACTTTGAGGCAAAGCACATTTCACTTGGGCTTCTGCTGTCTCAATAAGGCCAATGGGCTGCGTGCAATTTTGCCTGCAGTTGGTACCTGACCTTTTCAGGCTAGTTGCAAGGGAAACCAACCGCAAAGCCATTTTGAGGGTCCCAAACCTTTTTTTTGACACAGACCCGATGTGGTGCACACCCTGAGTCATGATCAAATCTGGCATTATCAGTTTATCCAAAAAACATGTAATGAATCAAATGGCTGCCGCACCACTGCCGCACCTGTTCATGGCTGGACTGCCGCTTACCCTTCATCTACATTTGATGTCACACTCGGTGGTCTAACAGCCGTCATGCCCCAAACGAGTCCTGCTTCAAGACAACCGAACCCAACATCGATTCGGAACGGCGCCTTTGAGAGAGGTTCCTTTACTCATTCTTTGATTCGATGCCTCTGAAATCACAAGCGCAGGAAACCGAAGCCCATGTTGCATTTTTGAGGCTCCCAATTGACGGTCTGAAGCCCTAATCCCCCAGAAACTGGGTAGTCCAGACTGCAGCACCTGGGAAACACACCTCATAATTACACACACATCCACACACACACATATGGCGGTTTCTCTATGGTTGGTTCATGAATTCCAAACAGGGGGTCCCAACATTGTGAACGACCCCAAGCTGGAACACAAACCCAAGGCACAACCCAAGCGTTTCCCAGGCGAAACCGCGTGCTTTCCGGGTGCCCGGCCATGGCGCAAACCGCCGGGAGACCACTGGCCTGCAGTTTGAGTCAAATGCCTTGGGCTCTAGGATCCCTTTCATTGACCGCTTGGAAAAATCGATGGGTGTCCCATGGAATAAAACCAATCTAAACCAGTGGAACCCACCTATGTCTAACCAAACTCACCTGAAAAGGACACCTGTGACCCCTGTTTTTTGCCTGTGATCCACAAAAAAGGGGTACAAAGCTGGAACAAAGGGTCCATTGAGGGTCCAGGGCCACGCTCCTGATTTACTTCCCACGTCACCCCTGGGTGCCGTTTGGATCCAAGAGAGGACTTGCTTAGGCCAAGCTCCCGATTGATGCCCACCCTTTTTCATCACCAAAGGAAACTCATCAAAGGTGATGTTAAAACCGGCTGAAGGGGAAATACAAGCACCCCAGCACCCAGAGGGACCCCACAACCGTCAAGACCGAAATGAACCTGGAAAAGATGTTTGGAGGGTGTGTTTGGAGTGTGGCAGCTTTATATGACACAAATCCGGTTGTCGTTGATGTTCGATGGAAATGGAAACCCTCCCTCAGGAAACCACCGAAACTGTGGGGCAAGTGTTCTCGAAGAAAGGTTAAAAAGAAATCGGGGGCCATGCTTGGTTTGCAATGGAAACCAAACGGAAATCATGCGGAATGTTAAATCATAGTGAATATACGTTTGTTGTAAACTAGTATAAACTCGTCATTACTATGACTGATATAAGGTTAATATCGATATTATGTTTATCTTTCTTATATTAGTTTGTAATGTGTTTGATAAAATGTAAATTGATTGATCAATTGTAATATAATTGACGAAACTATTTTGTTTCATAGACTAGTCTTGCACAAATGAAAAACATATATTCAAACGTTTTAAAATATATTTTTATATGTATATTAAATTTATGTGGTTTTACGTTATGGTACACATAATGATTGACATGATGCATCATTATAATTAGAACTTGCAGCATTCCATATATGTATACAATCTTCATTATTACCAGAATTACTTGGTTCACCATTATGCCATGGATAACCTCCTTGCCTTGGCTAAATATAAAACCAAACATTCTGGGGCTGAGTTTATGTCATGTGGTTGTTTGCTTTTTGTTGCAAGGACCGAAAGAAGCACCAGTTCCTAGATGTTTGTTTTGCTCTAGGAGACCCCCAAAATGAATTTGGTGGTTCCTTTTGGTGTTTCTTTTAAAACCACTTTTGGAGGGTGCCCTCCCCCCAAAAAAATATACCCGCATTGTAGCACACGCCGCCCTAAAGCGGCTCCGTGTTGCTGCTTTCTGCTGTGAAGAACCTGAGAAGGCCAGCCTGTCACATCAAATTCTCGAGACCTCTAAAAGAACGGCGCCATCCTTTGGGCCCGATGGAGAAACCCAACGGCATGGGTTCAAGGCCGTGAAGACTGGGGTCGATATGAGAAATATATGCGAGTCATGCTGGACACAACATGTATGGCAAGGGCCTAAATGAATGGAATATGTATATATATATATATATTTATGGGATTATACAACCAAAGCTAGCTTCGCCACCTCATGAATGCACTCACTGCAATCGGCTTGACCCTTTTGTGTCCTTGTGCTTTAAAACAAAGCGCAGGTGGGAAAAACCGTAGGTAGTATCCCCAAGCACCCCCCTTTGCACCCTTCCGGAACTCTAGTCTCCAGGACTCTAAATTTTGGAGCCTATCTCGGCCTATCCTTTTGCACCTTGATCTCAATTCCCAACATAGATGAACTCTTCAAGAAAAATAAATGGCCCATATAATAAAGCCTATATAACCAGTGGAACCCATGCATTCTAACCAAACTAACTTTCTAAACCATTGGAACCCATCCATTTCCAACTAAACTTGCCTTCTAAACCAGTAACACCCGCCTATGTCCGACACAAAAAAAAAAAACACAAACACAAAAAACACTGGCTACCGGAAATGTCGATCCAGATCCCCAACAAAACCTTTGAACTCCGGAACAAAAGGAAAAAAAAAAACGGTCTCTGGCGAGTGGCATTGTGGATGCCCTGCCGCAAGGCCTCGGATCGATCGCTGCTGCGTTCACCCCCCCCCCTTTTTCCGGCAAGTCCATGGGGGTCGCGAGTCGCGGTTCCTCGTTGGTGTCCCTTTAAAACCCATTCCTTAAAGACGGGTCCCCCCCCCCCCCGTCCCCAGATTTTTTTCATTGAAGAGAGATGGGGGGATCATCTTGTCCGAGCACAGATCTGAGGCTTGCTGGCATTTCTCATGAGGTTTGAGTCGCTCGATTCGAGGAATCAAAGGCTATGGAGAAATTGAAACCATAGAGGTGCAAAAAGGCTGGACTGATTGCAGCTGAAGTCTGCGCTCCTGTGGGTTCTATCCGATTTGGCCCTCTTCGCAGTCTCAGAAAACGGCATCTGCTGAGGTCGCTGCAGTAAAGCAGCCGCATGAGCAGCAAATGATGAGCATGGTAAGCCATTGAGAAATGGAGTACCTGAGACAAAGAGGAAAGATGTGCCAACAGCGGAACCCACCATTTCTGCGCTCCCCACGAGGTCTGGGCTTTCGAAGGTACTCTTTGGTTTGTTCTAAAGGGGCGCCCGCTTGGCTCTCCATGATCTGCACGCGCAATTGAAACTGTGGAAATCAATTGTGAAGAACTCAGCGGTCGAACTGCCAGAGCGAGCCACGTTTTTTTCCTGCGCTTAACTCGGCTTGGTGTTTGTAGTCGAGCATACGCGATTCTTAGGCTTTGCTTTTGCACAGCGCCACTTGTTCGGTTGCAGCCTTCGCGTTTCGTTTGACTCTCCTCTGGAAATGACCAAGCGACAACAGTCCCTGTCTTCCAACGGAGCAAGGCCCAGAATGAAAACTCTGGCACTTAGCCCTGGCTCAAAGACCAGTTTCTTGCTTGGAATGCCCCATCCATGGGTTCCTCCTGCTAACAAGTGCCACAAATGGATATGTGGGGATAGTGGTTTGGGCTTCCCTTTACGAAGGGCACGTTGTACTTCGGCAGCTGAGGCTGAAGGGAACCCCCTCCAAAAAACAGAGCACCACTGGAGGTCTGGGCACAACTGGGCTGTTCTGTCTTCTTTCAGGGGACCCCCCTCCCTCAAATATTTATATATGTATATATACATATGTGTATATATATATTGTACATATAAATAAATATATATATATATATATGTCTGGTTTTCCTTGTTGTTTTCCTTCAAACCTTCGCCGATCCGTCCGCTTGTCTCGCGAAAGAAAACCACGGCCTAAACAGCACCCTTTGCTTGACATTTTCCAAACAATGTCCATTCCGAATTCATCCACCTGGCGGATAAATCGGGATTTCGCCTAAGAGTGGAGGATCCCCTCAAAATGTGAAACCCCTCCAATTCATCAAGAGGCGTTCACCTATTCCCATAGCTTCCAAACTAAAAAATGGCCGTTGTTACAAAGCACATTGTTTGGGAAAAGGCTATTATTTGCAATACCCAGAGGTCAACTCCAATTTTGAGGGTTTTGGCCCCAAATGCTAGCAGAAGCATACGAGGAAGCGTTTACTACATGTGTTCCTGCACGCCTGCGCAATGCCTGGCTCCTATGCTTGACTCGTGAACCTGCTGGATTTGCGTGCAGAAATCGACAAAATAACCGAGAAACACTCACTTGCCAGAGGGTGCCGAGGCAACAAGACTCCTTCTACATCATGTTTGCCTGATTGCTTTTTGTTCAGGGTCCAAGGGTCTACTTCAGAAAATGTCCGTTCCACGGCAAAAAATGTAGGTTCTATGGAAATAAATGTCCTTTCTAGGCCTAGGGTATTCTATGGGTTGTCTACGGTTTGTCTACGGGCATATGTGTTAAAAACAAAAAATCCGCCGACCCTCTGCCTCCCGTCCCAGCCTCCTGCAGAGGGGACCGGCGTGGGATGCAACTGGAAGTGATTGGAATCAATGATAGTTCCTGGGGGACACGCCCGAACGCACGAAAAGTGGACTTCTAGCACCGGTCCCGGGACCGGTCCCGGGACCGGTCCTGGGACCAGTCCTGGGACCGGTCCTGGGACCGGTCCTCAGACTGGTCCTGGGACCCTGGTTCTGCTGTTTCAGATTACTTGTAGTCAGCCAAAACCGGTCCTGCGACCGGTCCTGGGACCAGTCCTGGGACCGGCCCTGGGACTGGTCCGACCAGACTGTCCCAGTCCCTGCCGGCGACCGGTCCAGAGCAACTTCGGGAGGGCCAGTTTCAGGGCGCTCCCGGGCCAACTCGAAGTGACTTGGGCGCAAGCCGGCCCAAGCGGTAATTAACGGACTAGCTGCCATATTTCTGACTTTTCCGTTAATCCTTGTTTGTGGTCGTAGAGGATCTTATAAGTGGTCCCTGGGTTTGCGGACGTGTTTCAGGACCGGTCCTTGTGACTTTTCCCTTAATGCGCCGAGGGTCGGCGGCAGCAGGCGGGAGCCTGGTTAATAACATGTGTGAAATGATTGTCCCAAATGCCCGCCAGGAAAATCAGGGATTGCAAAACACACAGTGTTCGCTCTGCATGACCCTTGTGGGTATATTTAACGCTTGTTGCTCTGTGTGGGGTATCTCTCACACATGGACGGAAAACTGCTAGGATTTTGATTGATGGCTGGACATGTCAAGATCGTGGGCAACCGTGTTCCAAAACGACTCATCACTGATCCTGAGAACAGCGAGGCCAGACAGGCATACCCCTAAAATGGCCAGCCTTCAGAAGCCCAAAAAATGTGCTTTGTTAAGCAAAACATGTGAGTGCGTTGTTCTAAGTCATTCCAGGAGCGCGAGCGCATTTGGCGCACCGCTTGCCGAGCACAAACATCGAGCAGAAGGCCGCTAAAGGCAGCTTCACCTGCAACGACAATCCAACAGGAAGGGGTCCGCCTGCGAATAAGAATAAACATAACACAATAACAATAATATAGATGTTCTTTTTGTTTGGTATTTAAATGGAATATTGAACAAAAATCATGTCTCT